CATTCATAACTCCGAGCTCCTTACCAATGAACCTAATCCAGCAAGTATCCAAGACATTCAGGAAAAGAGACTTTCATAGCATTGGAATTTTTCCATGCCAGCACTTTTTCACCCTTAGATAAATGGCTTTTACTTACAAGGCTAAAGGCTCTATTCTTTTCAAAATACTTCTCAGCTTCAAAGCAGCAATGGAAATTGGCCATGTACCTGGCCAGCTGATCCAGCCTGGAGTCAACCAAACAGCAAGAGGCATCTTTCTTCCCTGCAGCACCAAGCAGTGCCGTGCAGTGGACAAGCAGGCTGGAGGGCTGATGTAAGTAGGCTAACACTTTATTAATCAGAAGGTATTTAGGCAGGGCCGGTCAGCACAGCATGCTGAATTTCCAAACTGGGGGCTGGTGCCTGGGATGCACCTGCTGTGTTGGATGCCAGGTCTCAGAAAAGCCTTCTCTGGAAAGATTTCTTTAGAAACTCAACTGCTGCACAGGGGCAAAGCCTCCCTGAGCCCTGCCATCTATCCAGTTCACTGGAGCAGGCACTGAAGGACAGAGCTCTGCAGCAACTCTTGGGAACAGGCCAGACCTGAAAACAACGACACCAAACCCCCTCCACTCACAGATTCCCTCACATATGAGTGAGCTCTCCTGCAGATACTGGATGGAAGTGGATTTTATTTTTAATCATATGAGTGAACAAAGGCTCCAGCTGATGAGACATGTTTGTCTTTCTCATGAGACAAGTGTAGCAAACACCTTGCTGAAAGCAGTCTTGACCAAATTGCTCCTGGCCTTGAACAGCAGAGAAAAGTACAGGGAAGGAGGAAGGGGGGAGGAAGGACACTGCTGGGGGAGCTGGGCACTGTACACAGAAAACCTCATGTTTGCATGTATAGCAGTTTGTCTGAAGTCCAGCCAAAAGCAGCTCCCGCTTCTCTGCAGGGCTTGCTGGGGGCGGGGGTGGGGGGGGGGGGGGGGGGTGGGCCAACACCCGGCCAGAAATATCTAGAAAGTCCCAAGAGATCTGTGCTTTCCTCCAAAACCCTTCCCTTGACAGCTCCCTGATGCTGGCACCATCCATTTCTCCCCACCTTGCTCCTGGCTCCTGGCTGTTCAGCACTGAGTCCATCTGCAGGAGGTTGCACAATTCTTGGCCACATGCAGCTTGACCCGAGCAGGGGCTGTTGCTCTCACTTTCAAGAGCCACAGCCATAAAAAGAGATGGAATTTGCTGGCCAAGGAGAAGCCAGGGCAAGCTGATGCAGTGCAGGCTCCCGAGGTCAGTGGCTGCAGCTCCGTGCCGGGGGAGGACATGCAATGCCTAATGTGGAAATGTTTGTGTTTGGAGCAATATATAGTTACATTTGGCCCCTAGCAGCTGCAGAGGCTGTTTACTGTAGCACACAGACCTCAGCCTATTAGCTGAAGGCCTGACAGTGACCAGATGTGGAGAAGAGCGACCGCGGAGCCTGCAGCCGTATTTATCTCTTTGCCAAGATCCCAACAATATCTTGCCTAATAAGTCTGGCACAGAAATAATCATTTAGAGAGCTAAAAAACACAACATCCACAACCCATCTTTACAGCCAGAAGAGGATTTTTGTGAGGCTTACAGTCTAATCTTTCACCGTCCCAAGTGCTTCCCTCCTACTTCACAAACAGCGGGTGATTTATTTCCCAAATGGCTGGACTCAAGCCTCCTCCACATAATCACTCAACAGGGAGGCCGCACCTCTGCAGCCAAACTTGGCCACTTGCAGCAGCTGCACAAGGAGGCAGAAAGGTGCAGAAGCCACCACCCCCACCTGAGATGCCAACAGGCTCCTCTGGCAGGGGAGATGCCAAAGTCTCCAGGGCCTTTTCCCCAGCCCCACGTCGCCGATTCCCAGTGGAGAGCTGGTCGGTGGGGCAGGCAGCCCTGGCCCTGCCACTGACCCGCAGAGTGCGCACGCCTGGTGCCGCGGGAAGGACAGGCTGTCCTGTCACCCTGTGTGTCCCAGCAACACCCAGAGCGACCAGATTAGCCTTAATTGGCTACATTAAAAACAAAACAAAGCAAACCAAAGTAACTCTTTAGGTGCTTTCTGAAGACCCAGAGAACTGTGTCTTTGCTGGCATAAAAACTCCCACTTACAAGCATGTGGATGTTGGATCAACATCAACACTGAGAAACATAAGTTGCTCTCTGCTGATTCACACAGTTTATGACCTTGGCTGGCAGATAAGCCCATGTAGTATGATTTTGTGTGCTTTGCAGGCTGCAGGTACCAGGTGTCGTTGAAGGTCAGAGTTGAGGAAAGGGCTCTCCCACAGTCAGGAGAAAGTTAGAGAACGATTTTTATGCAACATAAGCTTGTAGATGATTAACAATTTTCTTTCAGTTAACCGAGAAGTTAATAGTTATTCAAAGCACTCCATTGTAATGGGAGTGGAGATGGGGAAATGTACTACATTAACCTTTAATCTTGGACTGTGCAATAAAAATTAAAATGGAATATGGCACATAAGTATGATTAATTCTGCTTGCAAAAGTAGAGGGTGTCAGTGTACGGTTTGTGCAGAAGTGTTTCCTTCTAACAGCAGGGTGCCTTGATGCAGGTGAGGATGTGCAGCAGAAACACTACACTCAGTGTTCAGTCCTGTGTTTTCTGCTTTTTGTCAAGCTCAGAATCCATTTTATTTCAACTTCCACCTTATTAACTCTGCACCTCTCAAAAATATCTAAATGTTAGGAAGTAGATGGACTGGTTATTTTGGGGTTTTGTTTTGTTTTGTTTTGTTTTGTTGTTGTTGTTTTGGTTTGGTTTTTGTTGGTTTTGGTTGGGTTTTTGTTGTTGTTGTTGTTGTTGTTGTTGTTGTTGTTGTTGTTGTGTTGTTTTGTTTTGTTTTGTTTTGTTTTGTTTTGTTTTGAGGGGAGGAGGGAGAAAGAAGGGCAGAACTTGGCAATTTGAAACTGTGGAAGGCTATCATCAGAGTAACATCTGCTAGCCTGCTCCCACTGCAGTGGACAGCACCAGGGAGAAGGATGGAGGATTTCCCAAAAAGCAATTTCTTTCTTGCCCTACCCTGTCTACCACTCTAATGGGCAGCCATGGGTTGAGCTTGGCACTAAAGACAGGCAGGGAGTTATTCTGCCCAGGGCTCACTAGTGCCTCCCAGCCTATCACAGAGTCACTTTTCCTGGGCACTGCAGTCCTGCTGTTGCTCATGGGACGATTGACACATGCACAGAGACTTCCTGAAGTCAATGACATTCAGTTTATTTTCTGTTTGCAAGCTCAGTGACAACCCTCTGGAGAGAAAGAAAAGCGTGGGAGACAGGCCCAAGAGGCAAACTGTGCTCATGGTATTCCCCAGCTTAGCCATGTTTGGCTGGGTTTGGTGGGGTTTTTCAAAAGTGTTGCAAAATCTGGGTCTGGATTTGTCTTTCCCCTTTTGTTCTTACTACTCTCCCAAGCATGCCAAAAGTCCCTTGCCTGATGTCATCAATGGGTTTGACCTGGGCCAGTATGAGGACTGAGGGACTGGGTTTAGGAGGCTGAATCACAAATGTTTTCAAGGCAAATTCCTCCCACAATTCAAACACACCTGAGTGAGCCTGCCCACTTGCTTTCCTGAGGAGCTGACACTTCCTTGTACCAGCCAGAAGTGGAAGTGTTAAGCTAGAGTAAGTGACTGGTTGCTTTTATGAGTATTTTCTCAGCTATGGGTGTTTCTGTGAATCACACTAAATCTCCAGCTGTGTATAAGTCAACATGAATTTCCCAGCACTTTCTGCATTCATTCAACAGCCATGCCAATATAAGGTGTGCATTAAGAGAGAAATCAGACAGCTCACGAGAAGGCACTGGAAGTAGCTCTGCAGGCTGAAGTGCACCGATTTCCCTGGCAGCCAAGAGGAATGACCCCACACACCAGCACACCCTGTGAGGACACAGTTTACCCCTGCTCCCAACTATCTGCAGCAAGCCAAGCCTCTCAAGAGCAGGCATGGTAGCCAGAGAGCAGGGAGAAGAGGTGGCTATTCCCCTTGTCAAACCAACATGCATGGCATGCACACAGCTTGCCAGCTCACAAATGAAGGGGAATCTAAATATCTCCATGGTGTGCCTGCAGATCCCCACACCAGACTCTGCCTGCCTTTTGTGCAGGGGACCTCGATGGGGAGGATGCAGGGATCCAGGCTTCACCCTGCTCTCCCTCTGCCCAGGGGTTGTTTACTCCCTTCTTCCTCCACAGTCAGTGCTCAGCAGTTTCAAGAGAGTGTCTGTTCTCATGCCTTCCTTCCTGACAGCAAGTTGTGTTTTGGTTTCACCAAGCCCCAGTGGAGCTGAGTCCCTGTGACCACAGCAGGATAAGCAGCTCTCAACTGAGCTTGCAGGGTGCACAGAAGCGTGCGGTGCTTGCAGGCAGCAAAACGAGGCCTTCTCCTTCCACAGCCCATGCCCAGCAGCTCTGATGGACATTTCCTTGAGACCTCTCAGTCCCAGCCATCCTGCTGAGGCCCAGGGTGGATCAGCAGATGACAAGCAGGGTGGGCAGGAGGGCACACCTCATTTAGAAGCAAGGCAGGTCACACAAAGACTGCGTCAGCCCAGGCTGAGAAAACTCCACACATTTAGTGTATTTGTCTTAGAGAAATAGGGTTAAGAAAGAATGAAGTCATAAACATAAGGACGTACATAATGGCATATCTATAATGGCTCTGTAATTGCCGGGCTTTTGTGCACAGTTAATCTACAGCCTGGTTAACCTGCCTCAAGGTAATCGAGAGGCAGTGACAACTGTGTGCCATCCTCCCACCTCCACACAAGCCACTGCCTCCAAACATTATACAGAAAGTTATAAAGATAGAGTTACCTGCTGGTAACTCATCCTGAGGCAAGCAGAATGAGGCCTTTTATATTTGCCGGGGCCAAGGTGCATCATGATACCAGAAGTTGCATCACTGCTGGGTAATGCTGAGCCAACAACGCCTCACAGAGCCACACAGTGCAGGACACAGCACCCAGGGAGAAGGAGACCTTGTGCTATCACTTAGCCCAACCGTGGGACTAAATTTTGGCAGGGCCTTTTTACAAAATGCTCCTATGTGAAATTTGTTTCCAGTGAGAACCAAACATCTGGGAGAATATACATTCCACAGCAGACTGGGAATAGGAGCAGCCCTAGAGCAGCTGACTCTCATCTGACTGATGACAGAACCAAAGGTCTGAGTTGTGTTCCTGGAGAAAAAACAAACATTGCATTTGCTCTGCATATGTGTAGAAAGCACCTGGACATGGTATTTGGAGGGAGGACATTTAGGAACATTCCACAGCCAGGGGAAAAGACAACAAAGTGTTGCAGCTCCAAAAGCTAGTCTGTTGCAAATTACTGCAAAGTCACACTTAGATTCAGGTCTTAACTCCTAGCTAGACCAGTAACTATTTAGTAACTCTATGTAACAAAGCACAGTCATGCCTCATTTAGGTTTCTCCTCAAGCTTAATTTACTGTCAAAAGTCTCGGAAGGAGCTGTACATTTTTTGGAAAGGAAGGTACAGCAGCAATAACAACCCATTGTGAACAAGGTGAGCTGTCTGTGAAGTCCATTCAGGCTTCTCTTCAGACCCAGGGATGCTGAGGGGCAGAGCTGAGTGCCCACTCAGACACACTCTGGCCACTGTCATCATCTACCTGTGGGCACTTGGAATTCATTTTGCCATGTCATGGGAAGCAGCTGCCTCTGTGCAGGTCTCTCCTCAAGACTCCCCACATCAAATTTCTCTTTCCTGCACCCTCTAATAGTGCAGTTTTGCATCACAAGTCATGGATCCATCCTCTCCAGTCTCCTGCTTTGCCCACATAGATGGGTGTGCATCCTAAAGCCCTGGGAGCCCCCACAGCAAGAACAACAGTGGGGCTGAGAAGTCAAGGGCATCCACACAACCATATCTCCCTGCAGCAACACTGACAAAACTCCCCTGCACCCAGTAAGGCCTCCACAGGGCGCTTGCTGCACCTGCTCTGTGGACAGACTTATCAGCCTCCAAGGCTGTGAAACTGGTAATCTATAAAAAGTATGAGTCACTGCAAAAAAATCTCATATCCTTCTCTAGTTCAAAGTCTTTCCTAGAACTACACCAACTGTAAGGCCTTGAAGGCAAGATTGTTTACTGAAATTAAAAATTCCCTGTTCTGGTCTTTTGCAGCGCTTCTTGAAATGTCAGTATTTTGCTGGATGTCTCACATCTAAAAAGTTTCTCAGCAGAAAAGGGACACGAACAACAGAGGAAATGGGAAAAGGGGAGCTGTGACACCTGAAAAGTTCATCTATTATAACACAAAGTGCATTTTTGGCTTTTGGAAAAACAATTTCTACTCTATGTGGATAAACAGACAACAGAAAAAAGGGCAGGGGAAGACAGATGCTGCGTATGCTTTCAGTCCACTGAGGGTAAGAAAGCAATGCCAGCATCATCTGAGCCTGAAACTGTGACTGAAGAGAAATACGACGCTTGTAACATCTTCAAAAAGAGGACATTTTTGCTTCCATAGCCCAAGGGGATCTCCATCTTCCTGGCAGAGGTGTGCACAAAGCCAGTTTGTCAGCCCTAGATGCAAAAAGTTACCAGTAATGAGCCCAGAACACAGGTCACAGCCTGCCTGGGCTGTGGGCAGCAAAGGTGTTGGGCGTAAGCAGACCCCTGAGGGGCAGCTGCTTGGAGCTGGATACCAACAAAAGCATCTGAGCCCTGCAGGCTCATGGGCTGGTTAAGGGAGAGAGGGTAGAGCTGAGGATGGGCTGGGGTGTTCTGCAGCCTGCCATGGGCTCCTGCTGCCTGGGAACTGAGCACTGCTGGTGGTCTTGGAGGTATAACATTGATGTCGGGAGAAATTATTGACAGGTCAGAGCTTTGCGTGGATGTCACATGTATAACAAGCAAGTTGTATCTGCAGTAACCTGTTTCATCAATTTCTGCTTTACTAGAAAGTCAATAAAAATTGACAATGCCCCATGGGGTTTTTGTTTTTTGGTCACATATACCTGAAACATTTATTTCCCTGGGAAAATAAAGTCAAGAACCTTATTCTCTACATGTAAGTGAAAAAGGTTATTAAGACAAGCTTTTGTCAGGCAGGACACCCACTCAGCTAGCACTGTGCTTGACGAGATCCTTGGAGGCCCTGCTATGCGGGGTGTACCAAAGGGAGAGGAGGATGCTTAATGCATGCATCTTCATTGCTGCCTCTCTTGGGAGAGGCGCTGAATTCTCCTTCTCTTTCTCCCTGGGCTTATCTGTTGATGGATTATACCAAAAAAGTCGTTTCATAAAGCTCCATTAGAATGCCAGTGCATGCAGCAAGGGCCACTGAAATATTCCCAAAGCCACAGACAAAGCTGACAATCTGCAATATTTTAGCATAAGCTGTGACCCAGTACACAGCAAAACAGACGAATGGCACTTCCCCTAGGGCAGGAATCGCTTCTGAAGCTGCTGACAACTCACTGTTTATCTCATTTCAGTCCCATTCTTAATCACTGTTTGAGATGAAACTTTTTCTAACCCAGATTCCAGTTTGAAGATCTCCAGAAGAAAGACCCTTGACCTCTCTCCTTGTAGCCTTCTCAGCTGCTGGCAAAGCTGTCTGTCAGATGCTGCAGTGTTGCTCCATGCTTACCGGGCAGGAGGGGCCATGGGGCTGAGCCATGCTCTGCTCCCACTGCCCCATGTGGAGCCTCCCGCGGGGCCGGAGCACAGCCTCCAGCCGGGAAAGGAGCTCACTGCAGCAGTGGCAGCTCGGGCCGGCCAGCTGCTTCAGCTTCATCAAAGTTCACCTCTGTTTGCTCCTGTTGTTATCTCCAAAGCAGGAACAAAACAGCAACCATCTAGTCAGTTTTGGTATTGCACAACTGAAAGAGAATAGGAAAGCACCCCCAGGAACTGAGCCAAGTCAATAATGGAGACAGATTAAGCAATACATACACCTGGCTGTCAGAAGTGTAAGATACTCTCTCTTTAGTAATTACAGAGCAATTATGAAGTTAACAGCAATTCCAATAAGGACGTGTATTTCACAATACAATTTTGCTCACAATCCATCAGGATCAGTCACACCAAGGAGATACAACTCTAAAAGCAAACTGTCCTCACCCCTGCAGGCATAGTCCTTTAAATGCCAATCCTTGGTGGGGTGGGATCTTGCACTAAGTAGCAATTAAATTATTAGTTATTAACAGGATGTAATTGGAACTCTACTTCAATGTGACTTTAAAAAAAACCCCACTTTTAAGACAGGTAATAGAAACCAAGATGAGGTACAAAGTTTGTGTACTGAGTTTATGCAAGCTCAGTTAACTGGTATTTTAATTCTGAAAAACCATAAACAAATTAAAGCTGGGTTTCAATATATCTGAAGTCATCAGTCTGTTCTGCATGGTCTGGATGAAAATCTTAGATTTTGTGACTGTTTATAGTGGTAAAATCACAATGATCTCAGTTTATCTTATCCATCCAAAGAGCAAACAGGGAACAGAAACTGTTCTAAGGTTGAGAACAGATCCATGCCTGAATTTGAGATACTAAATCAAACTCAGATCTGCTGAAGTTCACAAAGTCTGGCTTGCACTGAAATCCGGCGTTGCTTCAAAGTACTGAGCTGTGCCATTTCGTGCCTGTTCTAAGAGAAAAAACAGCCTACCTGGTGCTGCATGGCACACGAGGTGGAGGTCACCTGTGGTGGCACTGCACTGCCATGGCTTGCAGCCAGGAGGAACGCTGCACCATCACCATTTGCTAACAAGGACTAGAAATTATTGAGCAAGTGACCGAGGTTGGCTGATTCAGCAGGCAGCCTGACCTGAGGCTGGACCTTCTGCCTGGGCACACGGGATGTCCCTCGGTGCCACTGAACTGGATTTCTGGGCGCTGCAGATTCCCGTGCAGGCTAAGAGCCGTCCAACAAACAAACACCCATCCAGTCAGCAGTGACATCTGGGTATTGTCTGCTTCCCCCATCTCGCTCTACCTTTGCAGTACATTGCAGATGAGCCCATCAGCAAAAGCACAAAAGAAAGGGTGGCCCAGGCTACAAAACTATGAACATGAAGTACGGACAACCACAAGAGGAAGTGAGCACAGAGAACATGAATGTCATTGGATGAGGAAATGTTACCAATGTGTGCACGAAACCCACTAATACTGTTCTCTAAGGGACTTTCTGGGCAACAGCAGCCAGCCAGGAAGTCTTCCATCAAGACTTGCATTAATCTCCTCACTGTCTCTTTCTCATGTCTCCTTTCAGGCTTTATTTCATTCAAGTAGTGAAACCTGTTGTGGTTTACTTTGATAAAGGTAGAGCCAGTCACTCAGTGTGTTCAGGCAGTGGGGATGTTTTACTATCTCTAGCTGCATCGCCAGTAGGACTGAAAAGGTGCTATTGTGGTTTGACAGCTAAGGGAATAGGCGATTCTATCAAGAGGTATCCAAATATCTAAGTGCTCCAGAAGATTAAATAATTAATTATCAGAACTCCTGGCAGAAGTATAGCCAAGCATTATCCCTGTCCTCCAGGCAGCAAGAATATTTTTGCAACAAGTCACTGCTACAAGAGCTACCTAAAGTTTGCTCTGAGCTAGTGAACCAAAGCACAGACATTGGGAAAGCCGAAGATTTACATGTCCTAGGCAGAATTCTTACCATCACTACAACTAATGCCCTCTAACAAACTGTTAGAGACAGGGACTTGAACTCCTGGAAGACATATAAAAGTATGTGGGAGTTGCAATCTTAATACACAGAATGCAGAAGCATTTGGAAGGTTCAGAGGGGAAACAAGGCAGTCATGGAAAACTCTTACACTTCTATCCTCTTCTCATCTTCATCCCCTTTGATCACTATGCATCACTAAGGACTTTTCTACTTCAAATCATTTGTGGGATGAGTTTTTAGCAACTAGAGCTAAAGTAATGGTTTTAAATACACATATGCACATCTATGTATACATGCACACACACACAGAGAATTGCATCGCTATTCTCCATAAACTTAGCAAAGGCTGCAATACCTCAGATATAACATCTCAGTGCCTTTCCCTCTAGTCTCCTGTTATGTCATCTTTTTACTTATGCTTTATCTATGTTTAGATCATATCTCTGGGGTAAAGACTACATCCTTTATACATTTTTCTGATGTGCTTTTGAGATTAGAGACACTGAGTTGAAATAACTCAAGTCTCTCCATGAAGAGCATGCTACATTTTTGTGGTTTATGGTGGGTCCCTGGCAGCAAGAAGCTTTAAAAGCAAAGAACTAGAAGGACAAACCATAGATCACCTTTAAATGGCAACATTTCAGTGCATTGCACTTGCTGTGCTGTTGCCTTAGAAGGAGCTGCATGGCACAGAACAGACACAAGCAGAGTAATGCAGTGGAGAGCTCAGCGCTCAGATCATCCCTAAACCCATCTCTGGAAGCAAATGTCCCCTGCTGCTGATGTGTGGGTACAGCTCTCCACCAAATTCCTGCAGGCCAAGTGGCTGGGCACAGAGCAACTGCACAGCTCTGGTGGGAGCAGAGGCCACCAGAGGCCACCAGACTGACAGCCCTGCACACAATGTTTTCTTCTCATTCCCTGCTACTGCATTTATTTCCCTAGTGGTTCCCTTTCTTCTAGGAGTTTTCTTTTGCAAGCTTAAAGTTAGTCTTTTCCTCTTGCCTCAGTCTAGATCCACTAGCATTACCTTTTTCTTAAAAAAAAAAAAAATCAGCTTGCTTTGGGTATTCCCTTTCTTACAGCCAACTTAACAAAACCAGGTGCAGCTGCCCTGATGCTGTCTTCACACAATCTGGGAGAGCCCTGCCAGTGCTAGCTGCCCAGGCTTACAGAAATCCATCCTAGTTTGATGGGGACAGCCAAGACAGGGCCCTAGGTGTGACCAGTGAACCCTCTGAGTAACAAGGACCACATGTGCCAAGGAAAAGACCCTGGCATTCCATCCTGCCACCATCAGATCAGCTCTGCAGGGCCTCACTGCTGCTTCTTCCAAGTGGGTGTTGTTCGTTTCCTCTCCATATCACATTTAAAGGCAGCATTCATCTTGTCACATCTTGCAGCAGTTTCTCTGTGGCACATTGCCGGGGATGATGCTGGGATGTTTATTTCACCCTTTTGTTAAAAAGGATGACAGGTTTTTGGATGAGCTTGCTGTGGTTTATAGAAGCAGAAAGGAAAAAACAAGTTGGTCCAAGGTGGAGGAAAAGAGGTATAGGCTAAGAATATTTCTGAGGCACCCGGACTTGCACTAGGAAGGATTTTCTCCCTTGTGTGAGCACAGCTCCTGTCATCAATAGTTTTGACACCATCGCCTCCCATTTTGACAGCACTGGCTTGCTCACCAAATCACTCTGCAATCCCTATGCACACAACCTTCTGGAAATCTGTCTTCATATCCTGATGCAAGCTGACATAACTGGGCTTTTCTTCACCCTAGTTTGTTTTCTTTTAATATGATACCATTGCTCAATGGGAGTTCTGGGGATTTGGGTTCACTTGGGTGTCTTCTGTTGAAAGAGAAAAGAGGCATCCAGTGGCACTGATGAAATCTGCTCTGGAACAAAGAGAGTATTAACAGTGAAGGGCTGATATCTCCTGGCACTGCATGGGTCTAAAAGGATGCAGTAACTTATTTACAGTGTGGTGGCTCCCCCTGCTCTGAGGAAGGAGTTTTTGCTGCCTGAACAGGCCCCAAAATGGATGGGACCTCCCGTTCTCTTTCTCCTCCTCCCCACAAGCATGAAGCTCACATTAGGCTACTGCACCCAGCACTTATCATTCCCACATTTCCTGGAATGAAGGGTGTGTTGTCAACCCAACACAGACCTAATACAGCATCACTGCTGCAAGCTTATAGTCTTATCCTGCCTTTCACCCCTGCTCCTACCTTTCTGCTATGTGCCTGGTGTCAGACCAAGGGCTCCTGAAGCTGTGGGGTGAATTGCCTCTGCTCATCC